AATTTTTTAATATTTATTTCTTAGTTCTCGGCGGACACAACATTTTTTTTGTTGGTATGTGGTGCTGAGGATCGAACCCGGGCCGCACGCATGCCAGACGAGCGCGCTACCGCCTGAGCCACATTCCCAGCCCCTAAATCATATACTTTAAAAAGGCTAAAATGGTAGATTTTATGTTACATGTGATTTATCATTATAAAAATAAAAAGTACCATCAGATGATGGCTAAAATGTTACCATATTGTTGATTGAGCTGAAGATGAGCTTGTGAATTAACCCCAGACTGACTTCCTCCCTCCGTATCCTCCCTCCAGAGCAGAGCATGGTGAATATGGGCAGCTGCCTCCCAAGAGAAGAGGCGAATGGCCTGCCACCTCTACCGGTCCCTCATCTGCTCTTACACTGACACCCTCTCCACCTGTCTGTGAGGAAGTAAGGAGGCAGGGCTGGGGATGCTTTGTTATTGGCCAACCCACCAAGCAGCATCAGGAACGATGGGGGACATATTGCCCCATAACATATATGATGGCATAAACAAATGAACAGACCCTAAGACCTCTGCCTTCTTCCTGTTGGAGAGAAGGTTTGACCAGGAGTTAGGTTCCAATCCTGCCTGAGACCAACAGAATCCCAAATCTGTGGCCTGCTCCTGCCCTCCCTCACTTTGCTGCCCTTCCCTGTTTTCCTACTTATCTAGCTTGGCCTGTGCAAGCCTTGCAATTTAATTTCCTTTCATTCCAAAATAGTCTTTTGCCAGACCTCTGAAGAATTTATGGTTTGTTCACTCGGTCCAACAAAGTTTTGAGAGGGATCTTTGTTGTCTTGTGAAGTTCCTGTTTCATGTCCAGAACCTGTCTTCTAAGAAGGGTGGCCAGGCTGGGTGGTATGAAAACTTCTCTTCATGGAAACACTTAGTGTTCATTTAAAAACTGGATGTAAAGGCATTTCCTTGTACCAAACACTATGCTGGCAGCCCCAAGATGAGCTGGACCTAGACAGTGGCCTTCCTATATGGTGGGCAGGGAGGCTTAGTGGATGGTAAGTCCCATTGGGATCATTGTTCTGACATAAGGAGGGGCAAAGTTGGGAGGCAAAGGCTGGCAGAAGATGTCAAGGTATTTGGCAGAAAACTAGTGGTCTCAGAAAATTTCATCAGTGGTCCTGGTTATGCTTTGAAGAAGAAATGCATTTGGACCAAGAAGCATATTTCCATCACATCTGGAAGATGAGTTTTGCTGTGGCAGTGTAGGGGCAGAGTCCGAACCAGAGAGACTTTCTGGAAACACTGCTCATGGCTCTGCCAGGGAACAGCTGCCTTTTCCCATGAAACTAGAAGCTTCTCTAAAAGGCTCCACAAGGGAGCCCCAGCAAGCGGAAAGGCAGCTATTCCCTGGTACAACAAACAATACACCTGAGCATCTTATAGGCCAAGGAGCCCATCAGGAAGGTGACTTAGAGAGGCCTACCCCAGCATTTCCTAATATAATTTGTCTGTTGTCATTTTGTAACATCATTTGTCTTGGTAACCCTTGATATCATAGAGCAATGTGTGTTGCATCTTCAGATCTTTATTTGGACTTGCTGTGGTGGGCAGGGAAGTCTACCTTAAGTTTTGCCTTTGCATTTGGGCCCGTTTCTTTGTGTCTGTGGAGCGCCACCTATTGGCTATGAGGATAATATAGGAACCTGGACTGATGGAAGTTCTGAAATCCTGCATCTTCCTGCTGAAATGGACTGTACTTGACCTAAACATCAAGGAGAAGGGAAACATTTCATCAAGCAGGGAGGAAGAAGTGAAGAATCCCCAAACTCACGCCTGTCAGGGGGAGCACGTGGAGCACCACCAACCGAGTGGGAGAATCCAGAAAGCTCTCTGGAAGAAGCAGCATTTAAGCTAAGGCTGAGGAAAGGAAGGGAGGCCCACACTGCTCCTTCTTCCTGCCACTGGTCAGGGCAGTGAAGCCCTCAGTGGCCGTCCAGACAAGGCTGGAGGCAGAGCCTACAAGAAGCTAATAGCTCCCTCCCACCATGAAAAAGACAATCCTCTTTCCCTCCAGTGCAAGATTGAATTTCTTTACCATCTCACTCCTGTTGTGCCTTGTTGAAGGTGCTAGATAAGCAAAGCTAGAGTTGGATTTTGTTTGTTTGTTTGTTTTCTTTCAGTGCTGGGAATTGAACCTAGGGACACTTAACCACTGAACTACATTTCCAGTCCTTTTCATTTATTTACTTTTGAGACAGGATCTCACTGGTTTGCTCAGGCTGACCTTGAACTGGTGATCCTCCTGCCTCAGCCTCCCACTTTGCCGGGATTGTAGTTGTGTGTCAGTACTCCAATTAGGTTTATATCAGCAGGTGATTAATTTGGAGACCACATCAGGGCACCAACAGCTCCCCAGTCTGTGTGGGTACTCTGCAGCCATTTCTGGGAGGCCAGTGTTTGGTCAGATTCTGGTCCTACTGAGGATGTAGAGTAGCCTTAAAATTCTTACTTCAGAATGAGGAAGGGGTGTCAATTATAGGGAAAGGTTGTTTTGTTTTGTTTGTTAAAGAGTGAAAGAAGTGGGATTTATTCAAGGGTGAAGAATAAAAATAGAGCTGGCAGGGGCAAGAGGGGACCCAATAGGGGTTGCCAGGGTTTTGTTTTTTTTTTTCCTTAAGGAAATAAAGAGACAAGGACAGTGTTATTTTCTTTTGTTTTCTAGAATCTGGCCATATCTTAAGTTGCTAGAGAACCTCGCACAGGAGGGAAAGAGGATTGTCTTTTTCATGGTGGGAGGGAACTATTAGCTTCTTGTAGGCTCTGCCTCCAGCCTTGTCTGGACGGCCACTGGGGGCTTCATTGCCCTGACCAGTGGCAGGCAGAAGGAGCAGTGTGGGCCTCCCCTCCTTTCCTCGGCCTTAGCTTAAATGCTGCTTCTTCCAGAGAGCTTTCTGGATTCTCCCACTGGGTTGGTGGTGCTCCACGTGCTCCCCCAGTCTTTGCTTATCCTTCACACTCAGCACACAGGCTTGGGACAGCAGGGCCCCTGCTGCCCTGCCCGTGCCCTTCATTGATTCTCAGCACTTCACCATACAGAGTAGGTGCTTGATACTTGTTGAGTAAATGGGAAGCACTGAAGAAGGAACCCTTGGCCCCCACAGCTTTGGGGGCTCACAGGCACCACAGGGCTGACCTTCCTGTGTCTCTGCTGGGATTGAGGGTGCGCACAAGGCACCTCCCTCTTCTGCCTGTGCAGGAGCTGCAGCCACCTGGCAGTGTGGCAAACATCTCAAGTCAGGAGATGTTAAAAAGATAGCTTTCAGGACTAACTAAAATCTGATTCTCGAGATGGTTACTCATAGTTTTTTAATATTTTGCTTTAGGGTTTAACAGATATGGGGTGAGGAGAGGAGAGAGAATCTATGTGTGTAAACACATGCCCATTCTTATTCAATCCTTAGTGAAATACTCTGGAGGAGGGCCATTTTATTTTGATTCTACCAGGGAAAGGCTGTGCCAGAGGAGATGGGTGCCTGCTTAGCTGGGGTATGCTGTGCAACAGAGGCTCTGAACCCCAGAGGTGTGGTGACAGGTCAGTCACATGGAGATGAGCCAGGTGGACTGGGAAGCAAAAGAAGCACCAAAGGTTTTGACTCTTCTGAGGTTCCTGACCTTTTGGGCAGAAGCTGCTGTTACTCGTATGGCCCCTACATGCAAAGAATGTTTCTATGACATGTTCTCTGTGGGGTGAGTTTTCTGGCCAACATAATCCAAAGCTTGGGCTCCTTGATGGCTTGGGTGGGAAGGTAGAGCATCCTGGGTTCAATTCAACACATAAACCAAAGAATGTTTATTATTTAAGTACCTCCTTTGGACACTCCAGCAGCTGCCTGATTGCCAACACACCTCTGCCCCTCAGAGGGCCTTTCTGAATGGGTTTGGAGAAGAGACAAGGCTGTGTCCTGTGACCAGATGGATCACTCCAAACCCCCTTTGATACAGACCAAAAATAATACCTTGCCCATGTTAAGCCATCCGAAAAAGGGACCCCTCTGCCAGTTGTTCAGAGTGGCCCCTGGCAGGACACTTGGAAAACTGAATTGCTTGAAAGCCTGCACCTCCAGGGAGCTCTCTGCCGGCTGTTAGTTTGATTTGCAAGTACCCATAACCTGTTCCAGGAAAAATTACTAAGTAAGCCCATCCTGGTGGCAAGAGAGATGCAGTCACGTGTGTATACACCTGTGCTCAGACATCTCTGCATCAGGTGTTGGTGTTGTTCCAGAGGCTGACTAAAGCCAAGAAGAGAGGCCAGGCCAGCCCAGAAGGGTGGCATTGGAACAGCTTCTGGAAGGCAGAGCAGGGGCTGGACAGAGGGAGTTCCTTCCTTCATGAGTGAGGACCCAGTGTCAGGGACTCTGAACAGGAGGAACTCCCAGTCATCGGGGTCCATAGGATATTTGTATGCCTGGATTGCCCGTACCACCCCTAATTGTTAAAGAGTCTACCTTCCAATTCTTCCTGGAGTATGTGAAGGGCACTTGCAGACCAGGCTAACAGCAGGCAAGGAATGCTGCTGAAGGCATGGCCCTCTTGGACAGTTCAGGTTCCCAAGTGCTGTGCCAGGAGCCACTTCCAAGCAATGCAGAGAGGTCCCCTTCTCATAAGGCTTGAGAAAGGCAAGTGAAGACCAGGGAAAAGGAGCCTAGTTTTCATTCAGTGGTCAACAGATTTCTTTTTGGTATTTAATTCAGAAAATGTTACAGATAGACAAAAGTAACCCAAAGAGTTAAGTGAACTTCATAGTATCAACTGCTGCAGTATTTATGCCCTCCATGCCCGACACTTTTGCCATCACGCCCCACTCCTACCCCATATGCTGTGAAAAAATCCTGAAGTAACGTGTCTGTCAAGCCTACCCTGTGGCTGGTAATGAATCCATTGAGAGTTCTGGGGTTCCCGAATGACAAGGCAGCATGGATTAATTTCACTTCATTTTTCCGCTTTGTCTCTCTTTCAGTGGGAAGTTAGTGTCTCCAAAGTGGAAGAATTTCAAGGGCCTGAAGCTCCAGTGGAGAGACAAGATCCGGCTCAACAATGCCATCTGGCGGGCCTGGTACATGCAGTGTGAGTGCCTGGGTATGGGGCTGAGGGCCTCCAGTTATCTGGCATCAGATCTCTACCCACTGGAGACCTGAGCAACTTGGGACCCAGAGCTTGGAGGCATCATGTTCTAATAGGAGAGTTTCTCAAGCAGTTTGTGGAGATGGGAAGACCAAGCCAAATCCCAGGGACCTGGATACTCAGCTGTGTCCAGGCATAGTTGGCTGACAGAGCATTGAGTCTGGAGGGACAGACGTGTGAGACCACTGCTCACAGTGTAGTGTGCTCAGTAGCATGCTAGACGCTTGTGCCCAGAGGAAGAGGAAGGGGTTCTCTTTAGGGGAGTCAGGAGTGAAGTCAAGAGGTGACATTTGAGGAGCTGGAAAGTAGTTCTTGTTTTCAGCAGGTCTGAAAAAATGCAGGCAGGGCTGGATTATAGCTCAGTTGGTAGCGTGCTTGCCTCACATGCACAAGGCCCTGGGTACCACACACACACACACACACAAAAAAAAAAAAAAAAGTCTGAAATAATGCAGGTAGCTGGGCATTATAATATATAATATATATAATACATAATACCAGTAACTCAGGAAGCCAAGGCAGGAGGATCACAAGTTTGAGGTTAGTCTGGCAACTTAGTGAGACCCTGTCTCAAAATTTAAAAAAATAAATAAAAAGAACCGTGCTGTAGCTCAGAGGTAGAGGACCCCTGGGTAAACCCCAGTACACACACATAGTTTTTTTATAAGTTGCAGGCACAGCTGTGTCCTGTTCCCAGGAGCTTGGATGCCACAGGACCCGGTGACTCGAGTTGAGTGGATGAAGCATTGCTAGTGCAGGCTGCACCCCTCTCCATGAGCCAATTCCCTCTCTTGCTCACACATTATTGTCAGATTCTTTGCCTTTCACCTGGATGGCTTCCAGGGGAAAGAGAAGGAAGGAACACTCTAGAGGATCTCATCTTGAGGGAAGAGTGTGGATGGGTAGGACAGGATTCCTTCAGGGTTCTTGGTGCAATGACAATGTCTCATCTCTCTTTTCAGATTTGGAGAAGCGCAAGAATCCCGTGTGCCACTTTGTCACCCCACTGGATGGCTCTGTTGATGTAGACGAGCACCGCCGACCAGAGGTACTTGGCAATCCATCATGATGGGCTGAGAAAGGAAACTGCTTTTGCTTCCCGGGATAGACTTGCTGAGGGCTGAGTTCTGCGGGGGAGACTGGGTGGGAGAAGCAGGGTCCCATGTTGTAACAGCAGTCAGTATGAACTTAAGAAGGCACAGGTGGCCTCCAGCACCCTCCTACCCACAGAGATTCCCTCTTCAGGCCAACCTGGTGGAGACTCATCCTCTCCTCTTGTGTAAGTGGGTCTTTCTTCTGGAAGTTATCAAGAGAGAAGCCTGCCTCCCTACAGAGCAGATGTCATTACTCCTACAGTGACCTGAGATCGCTAGATACTAAGAGCAACAAGAAAGAGCACCCTTTTAAAAAGCTGATTGCACAGCAGTATTTTTAGTATATTTATGTTAATTTAAAAGTGTGCACTTATGATTATATTTACAAATGACATGTCTAGAAGGATATAGAGATTCATTCATTTCTTATATATTCATTTATTTATTTATTTTGCTGCTGGGGATGGAACCCAGGGCCTCACGCATGCCAGGCAAGTGCTCTATCACTGAGCTGCATCCCCAGCCCTAGAAACCTTTTAATAGAGGGTACCTTTGGGAAATGAAATTAGAATAGGTGCCAGACAATGAAGGCTGACTCTGTTTTCACATTTTTCTTTTTATCTAAGAATGCCTTTCTGTTATGATAAAAGAGGGGGTAGATTTAAAGTAACCTAATGAAGTAGTACTGAAACTCTCAGGTATAATCTGCTGTTCAACATCATATGATTTCCTTAGGTATGATGGAAATATTGAAATTGTTTTTAGCTGGGCACCGTGGCATATGCCTGTAATCCCAGCAATTCAGGAGGTTGAGACAGGAGGATCACTAAATTCAAAGCCAGCCTCAGTAACTTAGCAAAGTCCTAAGCAACTTTGTGAAACCTTGCCTCAAAAATAAATCAATAAATACATAAATAAAATAAATAAAAAATTTTTAAAAAAGATTCTGTTTTTTAAAAAGTGATCCTTAGGCTGGAGTTGTGGCTCAGTGGTAGAGCACTTGCCTAGCATGTGTAAGGCATTGGGTTTGATTCTCAGCACCACATATAAATATAAATAAGTAAATAGAATAAAGGTTCATCAACAACTAATAAAAATTTTTTTTAAAAATGATTCTTCACTGTTACTGACACAAACCATGAAGGTTTGCAGGTGAGGGGAAATGAACTTGAAGCCTGAAGGCTGGGCCTGCATTGGGAAGAGTAGGTTCTATCCTGAGTCTCCAGGGCCACCAGGGAAGGCATGTATCCTGCTGCAGTGGAAGGGTGGATTTGGTGCTCTTGCAGTACCTGGTCCACCTGAAACCTGTGTGATCACTTGCTCATTTTCACCCTTTGAGAGTGCAGCAGAGGCTACTGGAAAAGATATTATATGGGCTGCCCATGAGGTTCTGGAAGACTCCATGCTGGGAAAGAGTGACTCTGCTTTCTCCTGTGCCCCAGTGCGAATCCTTAGGACCCAAACCAGGATTCCCCTTAGATGTTTTAGGTCTTGAAATGAAAATGTGTCTTTAGCCAGAGGGCCAGAAGAAATGCAGCATGCTCTTCGAGTGAAGTCACACCCTCGCAGTGATGAGGTTCCCGGAGCTAGGTCGTCCGAGGCCCACTCTGAATAGTGGATACTTTGGTTTTCATGGCTGAGTTTTGCTGATCATCTAAGACCGCTCTTTTCAATGTGGCCTCTCTATTACAGGCCATCACCACAGAGGGGAAGTACTGGAAAAGTCGCATTGAGTTTGTGATCAGGGAATATCACAAGTGGAGGACCTACTTCAAGAAAAGGGTATATAAAAATGAATGAATGAGTGAATGAATGAATGAAAAGGGTGTTGTGTCACATTTGTCGCAACCAAAACACTCAGGGTCACTCCAGGGGAACTGGACTGCACAAAATAACCACACAAGAGACAGAAATATTTTTTTCTTTGGGAAGGTCCTGTGACGGCTCCTCTGACTTTAAGGGTTCACAGAAAGAGTAGGCGCGTGCTGACCCCTTTTATTGAGGAGAAGCCATTCAAGTGAGGCCAGCGGTCAGGGTTCAGGGGGCTGAGTCTAGCTTCATGATGTCTGCTGTCAGCAGGTTGACTGCCATCTAGGAAGGCCACAACCAAAGGCAGAGCAAGAGAAGGGGACACACAAAGGGCATTTCCATGGAACATTCTATCCTAAACAGGGCAAAAGGGTAATATCACAAAGGAACAGGTGAGCATAGCCCGACCCGTGGGGCTGCAGGGAGGCATGCCTACGCATGAAGACACATTCTGCTACTTCAAGGATCCGGGCAGCCGTAGAGGGCCACTATGAATGTGGCCAGATCACTACGAAAGTGACCGACAGAGCCTCTATCAATTACGGGAAGGAAAATGCTTGTTACTCAGAGCGACAGCCCCCCATAGTGTTGGACTGGGGCTCCCCCAAAGAACATGTTCAGGAAGCCCCTGTAGAGGAGGGAAGGAGCACAGCCCCCATTCAAAATACTGGCCCAAGGCCCTGGGCTCCACACTGCTCCACCAGAGGCAGAGCATTAGGAAGGAAAGCGGGAAGCCAGCATTCACACCCTAAGTGGTGGCCTTCAGTTTCCTCAGCTCTGAACAGGGCTGTTTCTTCCACAGACCCTGGCTGGGAACCTCCTTTTTGACCAAATCCTGGGGATGGCAATAAGCAGGGTCCCTTTCCCTGCATGCCTCCTAGAGAGATGAGGCCCAGGTGCTTCCAGAGGGTTCACTCACATTATGGGGAGATGAAGCTGGGTCCTCTTCCCTCCCAGGGCTCTTGGTGACCCCCTGGTCCCACTCCTTTTGTCCATAGCTCCAGCAACACAAGGATGAAGACCTCTCCAGCCTGGCCCAGGTGAGTGATTCTGTGAGCCCTGCCTGGGAGAGCTGTGGGACAGGGACTGCCTGAGGTGGAGACAGGTCCATCTCAGGACTTGTGGGTGACTGCGGCAGCAGCCATGAAGGACCCCCTGGGCAGGCTGGGAGGAGCTGCCCTCTACCTCCCCCCTCATCTTCACAGCACGGCTCTGTGGCCTGCTTCCCAGCACGGTGGGACTGAGTTCCACAGCTGCCCTTTGATGTTTCCTCCCCCTCTGTTGGTGGCAGGATGATGACATACTGTATTGGCATAAGCATGGGGATGGCTGGAAGACCCCAGTGCCCATGGAGGAGGATCCCCTGCTGGACACGGACATGCTCATGTCAGAATTCAGCGACACCCTCTTCTCCACACTTTCATCACACCAGCCAGTGGCCTGGCCCAACCCACGGGAAATAGGTAACCCCAGCTCAGTCCTGAAAAGCTGGCTTCTCTGCCAGGCCTCTCAGGGTCATTTCTGAGCTGCTGCATGTCATCTGTCAAGGCTAGGCAGAAAGGAAGAGAAGGATCAGCCGACCTCCTTCACTTAGGGCCACATGCACTGAATGGGGTGGGAACTACAGATTGAGTCACACTGCAGCAGCTGTTATTCCCTTGGCACCACTGTGAGAAAAAAGCAGGGGTGTGGTCTGAACCAATTTAATGTTTCTGATATTAAATGTTAGATATTATTTCTGATACTGTCCTGCTGTCCTCTTTAGTCAGGGACACATGCCAGTACTGAGATCTACATGTCAGGGCCATGTGACTCTAAAGAAAACTGGAAGCACTTCTGGACCTGACTTCCCAACTGGAGGCCTCCTGTCTTCCAGTGAACCCAGAGAAGACTGAACTCAGAACTGGGAGAGGGAGTGGAGGGTTGGCATCTGCTCAGCTATTTGCGGCTTCTTGGGGGTGTCCCATTCCCTGATACTCCATTTACCCATCTAGTAAAAACTCACTTTTCCCTGCCTTCTGAGTGTGGGAATGGCCACAAACCTCCAAGAATGTAGAAACCCCAGCCAGCTGCCCACAGTTCTCCTTGGAAGAATCTAGAATGTGAGCAGGGCCAAGAAAATCTATTCCAGGTCTTTTATATGTTCCCACACCCTGTCTGAGAAGGCAAAGTGATTCCTCTCTCCTAATTCTCCCTCCTAATTCTTACAGCACATCTAGGAAATGCAGACATGATCCAGCCAGGGCTGATCCCTCTGCAACCCAACCTGGACTTCATGGATACCTTTGAACCTTTCCAGGGTGAGGACCCCAGGGCAGAGGGAGCACAGGCCTAGCTCTTCCTGCCTGCCACAGAGCACATTGGTGCTTCCCTTTCAGAAAGAGAATGGTTAGAGTGGACATGGTGGAAGACTTAGAATTTTTCAAAAACTAAACTTTTATTTTGTAGTAACTGCAAAGCTTGGGAAATTTTTTCTGGGCCATTGCTCTCTCGAAGGAAGTTGACATTCTCAGAAGGCATTATCACCAGTTTGGATCCTGACTGTGAGCAGTTCTCCCTCTAAGCAGCAGAGGGCACTGATAACACAGCCACCTCCCAACAAAGCTTCCTGCAGTTAGATCAGGTCCTTGAGCTGCTGTCATCACTGAAATGCCTGCCTGGCCTCAGGAGTTTTCAGTCAGCAGTGGTGGCTCTAGACAGGCACCTCTTTCTACAGAAGAAGTCATCTCTGGGGGGTGGGGTACTCTGTGGTCATGGCAGCCCTGAAGTAGGATGGGGTTCAGCCCTGTTTGTTTGGGTCTTTCTTCTAAGAAACAGTGGGCACCCAGAGCTCAAACACCCCTGCCGGCTTGTTCTTTTTTAGACCTCTTCTCTTCCAGTCGCTCCATTTTTGGCTCCTTGTTGCCTACATCTGCCTCAGCATCTGTACCAGATCCCAACAGCCCTCCTGCTCAGGTAGAGGACATTGGGGAAGTGGCAGGGGGTAGCAGGCATGGGGCTGTCATCATAGTTTGCAGTAGAGCTAGATCAATGACATAACCATGCAATCACAAGCAAAGTGGAAGGTGATGCTAGATGCGGTGCTGAACACAGGGATCGGGTAAAGAAATCCCAGAGTCCTCTTCAGAAGCATTCTTACACACCACAGGTGTTCTCCCCTGAGGATCCTCATGACTTATGTGTGGCCAGTTCTGTTCTGAACAGTTGAGATAAGATTAGCTAGAGAGAATGAAAACACGGATCACTAATAAAAATAGTTCTGTGTATTTCTTACACTTGTTTTACTTAGTAATCAACAAAAGTTGGTTACCAGGTGTTGAGGCTACAGAACTGAACAAGCTGCCCTGGGAGAATCCTCTCTGGCGGGTGCCTGTATCCAGTTAGCTACTGGTAACCTGGCACCATCTCCCTCCACCTGACTCGGGGAAAAATTTCTTCTATAGAGACCGAGGTCTCCACAGTTGATTCCTCATAGCTTTTCCCACTTAGGAAGATGTGGCCTGCCTAGAAATTGACATCTGAAGCTGTCCTGGGGGAACCCCTGAGCAGCTGCAGTCCAGGCCAACTCTGCTCTGTAATAGAAGATGACAGAAACTGTAGGGAGACCCTTACTGGACTCCAGAAACCAGATATTCCCAGGCTGCTGTCCAGCTGTGTGGAGGCCGCTGCTTTGTCTGAACTGTGTTATCATTCAGCTCCTCATGGAAATAAGACTCCTGTCAACGCCCTGGGGACACCGATCTATTTTCCTAGCGCAGCAGCAGAGAGATAGCATTTCAGTCCCTCCGTCCCAATGTCTGAAGTTGAGCTTTGAAGTACGAAAAACACTAAAGGGCGAAGGTGGACGTCTGATCCAAGTTGGCCCTTCACTTCTCTTCCTTTCTCAGGGGAGCGTCCTGCAGACCTCTGCTCTGCCCACTGTGAGCCTTCCCGACAGCCTCATCGTACCCTCTGCTGCTCCCTCCCTTGACCCCACAGGTGGGCAGGGCTGTGAGCGTGCTTCTCAGACTGAGGACCCGTTTACCCAGTCCCCGGACTTTGGTCCCTCGGAGCCTCCCCCAAGCGTCCCTCAGCCCTTCCTCCCCATCTTTACCATGCCCTTACTCTCCCCCAGCCCTGCCCCAGCCCCTGTTCCATCTGCATTACCTTTAGTTTCCTCTCCTGTCCCTGCCCTGAACCCCCCAACGCCACCTGCCTTTCTGCAGAAGTTTGCTGAAGTCAGCAAGTCGCCCCCTGTCATCACCCACACGGCTTCCGCTACCCTCACCCACACAGCCTGCACCACCACCTTCAGCCAGAGCCAGGGCCTTGTGATCACAGCCCGCCACCCCACCCCTTCCCCCTCCCCCTGTGGCCTGGCACTGTCCCCTGCCCCCCGGCCACCTGCTGTTGGGCCTCCCCAACCTCGTTTAACTTTTGTACACCCCAAACCTGTATCCTTCACTGGAGGGAGGCCCAAGCAGTCCCCCAAAATAGTGCCTGCTTCCAAACCCGAGCCCAGGTCCTTGGTGTTGAAGAACGCTCGCCTGGCCCCAGGTGAGTCAGGGGAGTGCACCTGCATGGGATCTCCAGGGAGGGGTGTCCCCCTGTCCCAGAGGCTGTCAAGCTTGAGGCCATCCCCTTCACACACACACATTTAAACAAAGTAGAAGTGTCATGGGTAATGCATGTGCATGATCTATTCCCTCTTCTATTTTATGTCCTTTTTTGAAGTTAGTATCAGCCCACAGTTTGAAAACACGTGGTCTGGGCCTGGGCCTCTACTCGGAGGTAGAGTGCTTGCCTAGGCACTGGGTCCAATCCTCAGCACCAAATAAAAATAAATAAGATAAAGATATTGTGTTCATTTACAACTAAAATTATAAAACACACACACACACACACACACACACACACACACACACACACACACACTCCCAGGCATCTCTTTCAAGAAAGAGTCTATAATGTGTCTTCTTCAAGAAGTTGCAAAAACAACTTAGATGCCCTGGTGGTCTTGTCTCTCCCTTGTGGTGAGAGGCCTAGAGGGTGTATGTGTGTATTGTTGTGTGTGTGTGTGTGTGTGTGTGTGTGTGCACACGCACTTCTTGGGAGCTAGGCCACCTGCAGCTTGGGGGCTGGGTCTGTAATGGCAGGCCCAGGCCTTCCCTTCATCTTAGCCTTGTCCTGGCAGCTACCTTTCCAGGCCAGCCACAAGCAGTGATCATGACATCAGGCCCTCTGAAGAGAGAAGGGATCCTGGCATCTACTGTGTCCCAGTCCAGTGTGGTCATCGCACCTGCTTCCATCGCTAGGGTGAGGAGGGCCCCAGGCAGACCTCAGTGTCTGAATCACCCCAGAGCAGCCTGCATTTGAGTGGCTCTCATCCAGGGTAACCGGTCTGCTCTGCTGTGCATCAGCACTGGGTGACTAGTCTCTCCCATGTCACCACAGGCTTCTGGAGTCACGGAGTTCCACAGCAGCGTCCTGGTGACAGACCTCAGCCATAGCACGAGCAGCCAGCCCACCCCTGTCTCCCGGCTCTTCTCTCCGAGCACAGTGCCAGACTCCCTGGTGAAGGGCGAGCAGACCCAACTGCATGGGGGCAGCCCCCAGGGCCCTGCCTCAGGGTCCAGTGAGTGTTCACACTACTTGAGTAGTTGGGACTTCACACAGAAACGAGCAGCTGCCCATGGGCCTCCAGGACTGGGACATGCTGGGTGGGCAGCAGGGTGACTGGGGCAGCACTAATGGGCAGGCCACCGGCACACTACAGCACAGGCAGCTGGTGTGCTTGGGCAGCAGCCACTGTCTTTTGTAAGGACAGGTTTTGAAAAAAATGGACTCTTCAGTCTAGAAAGATAAGGAGTTGAGAGAATTATGAGTTAAGTTCCCTAAAGTAAGCTCGGAAAAGCCCAGGGCCGCACAGCCCTGCTGGTGAGGTGGAGGAACCTGGGGTTAGAGCCATGCTGTGGAGCCTGACCATAGTTTGGGGGAAATAATCCAGTAGAGAGGACGTGAACCTGGGACGTCTGGTGCAGTAAAGTGGGGCAGGCCAAGAAGGCTGGAAAGGGACCCAAGAACTGTCTGCTTAAGAGACGGCAGTGACAAGAACCATGAGGTCACAGCGCTGCTCTACTTGTTCTGTGTGGGTCCAAAGGTGACAATGGGTTTTGATTAAAAATTTCAGGGAATGAGTAAGATAAAAATTTAAGAAAGCATACATGTAGAGTTTAAAGAACAGAAATAAGACAGATTCCAATGTGCTCCACACACAAGGTAAGAACGGGAACCTTACAAACCCTGTGGAAACCCCTGGCTGCCTGGAGGTAGCATTGTAGGGGGCTGGGTCAGCCGTCAGACCTCCCCTCTAATGGCTGCCACTCCCTGAGACCTGGGGCTGCAGAGCTCAGGCTGCGTTCCTGCTCCATATCTGACTTGCCTTTGCCAGGCCTTGCCTGGGCTAAGGGAAATACCCCTTTCAGTGTTGGCAAGGGTTTTTTTTTACTCTGGGGAAACTATGAAAGGTTAAAAAAATGGGCCTCTAGTCTCAGGAGTTGGAGGATCCCTGTGTCTGAGGGTTGCTAACCTTCCTTCATGATACTGAATCCTCTCTTCAGGCTCTTCCCTGAGAGCAGTTTCTGTTCTTCCTAGGTCGAGACTGCCCAAACTCAGGGAAGGCCTCTCCGTGTGCGTCAGAACAAAGCCCTAGTCCTCAGTCTCCCCAGAACAGCTGCTCAGGGAAATCTGCAGACACCAAAAACGTATTTGCGTTAAAGGTATGATGCATCTCTCTTGGGTCTTGATTTCCTTGTCAGGATGAAGAGAGAAGGGAAACAATATTCAGGAACCTTGGGGCAGCTGTATCCATCTGGAAAAAAGAACCACTGGTTTGGCATTTGTCTGACATCACACCCTCAGGCAGCCAGAAACATTGAGATCCAATCCGCCCCTCTGTTGCCCCCCCTTCCCCTCAGCCAGCCCTGTGGCAATGAGGGCCTATCAGAAAGCTTTGTGTGGACCTTGAACCCAGGGATCAGCTTTGAATCCTCCAGCATGATAGGGGTGCAGCTTTGTCACCACCAGTTGAGGAAGGCGGTGGCAGCCAGAAGCACTGGGTTGGAGAGGAGAGGTGGCGGCTGTAGTCTACCCTAGCCCCTCATTGGATCCTACTCTCCTGTGTAGCTCTCTAGCCCTGGCCTATCATGTGCCCCAGGGTCCCAGTCTGCTTCCAGCTACTCAGTGTCAGGTTGGGCAATGAGGAGGGATGCGGTCCAAAGCCTGCTCTTGTCTTAGTGACCAGTTACTTCCCAGCAGCACCGGCATATCTCAGCTGAGCAGAAGAGGCGCTTCAACATCAAGATGGGCTTTGATACCCTCAACAGTTTAATCTCCAATAATTCCAAGCTGGTGAGTTGCCTGAGAGTGTCAGGTGGTGGTGACAGGATGGCTCTTCCCTGCGTGCCTTTGACACACCAGGTGCTGCCACCTGAGTCTCCTGCCTTCTGCAGACCAGCCATGCCATCACACTGCAGAAGACCGTGGAGTACATCACCAAGCTGCAGCAAGAGCGGAGCCAGATGCAGGAGGAGGCCCGGCGGCTGCGGGATGAGATCGAGGAGCTCAACAACACCATCATGTGAGGCTTGGGCTGGGTGCTCAGCCTCACACGTTCACGTGGCAGAGGGACCTTTTGTGGTTTTGCTGCTGACGGAGCCTCTCCTACAGCATTTAGGTTCTGGTCCTCTGCCCACAGGCCTGCGTTTGTGCCTGGCAGTGGCCCAGCAGCAGGCTGGCCCTGCCCACCTGGCCCAGGGTTCTCCTCTGCCGCCAGCTGCCTTTCAGAGCTTTCCCTGATTCCTCCTGTTGTTTCAGCTCCTGCCAGCAGCTGCTCCCTGCCACAGGAGTCTCTGTCACCCGGCTTCAGTATGATCACATGAGAGACATGTTTGACGAGTACGTGAAAAGCCGGATCCTGCAGAATTGGAAGTTCTGGATTGTATCTTTGGGTGGTCTTTTTTGCTCTTCCCTCCTGTAGGCAACATACTGAAACAGTAGACGTGACGCTCAGTTCCCTTAGAGAGCTTTCTGCGTGGTTGTCATTGGCTCATCAAGATAGGCAGTGCTAGTTTCTGTCTCTGGGGAAAGGGGTCTGTTCTGGCCTGGCCTGCGTCCAGGGGAGAGCTTCCAGGGTGCTTTGCAGGAAAAGCCAGGAGGCCACGTGACCTCTTCCGCTCTCTAGGTCTGTGAAGAATGCTGGAGCCACCAGCAGAGGCAGCAAGTGGGGAAGGAAAGGGGTTAAACAGCCTCGCAGCCTTTTTACTTTTCACTGACAGAAATGGGGCTCACCTAGTTACAGTGGAAGAGTCGGGTGCAGTGCATTCCTATAATCCCAGCATCTCAGGAGGTTGAGGCAAGAGGATCTTAAGTTCAAAGCCAGCCTCAGCACCTTAGACTCTTGTCTCCAAAAGGGGCTGGATTTGTGGCTCAGTGCTTAAGAAGAACCTCTGGGTTCAATCCTTGGTACCAAAAAAAAAAAAAGAAGAAAAAAAATTTACAGGGGAGCTCTTTGTTACAGGAGGGTTGCTAAGATCGGAAGAGCGTCG